AGGAATTTCCCCCCATTTTAAGGGATTTCCCCCCCATTTTAAGAATTTTGCCCCCATTTAATTATTTTTTTCCCCATTTTTAGGAATTTCCCCCCATTTTAAGGGATTTTTCCCCCCATTTTAAGGGTTTTTCCCCCCCATTTTAAGGGATTTTCTCCCATTTTAAGGAATTTTGCCCCCATTTAATTATTAATTTCCCCATTGTTAGGAATTTCCCCCATTTTAAGGGATTTTCCCCCCATTTTTAGGAATTTTCCCCCATTTTAAGGGATTTTTTCCTCCCATTTTAAGGGATTTTCTCCCATTTTAAGGGATTTTCCCCCCATTTTTAGGAATTTTCCCCCATTTTTAGGAATTTTCCCCCATTTTAAGGGATTTTTCCCCCATTTTAAGGGATTGTTTCCTCCCATTTTAAGGGATTTTTTCCTCCCATTTTAAGGAATTTCCCTCCCATTTAATTATTTTTTTCCCTATTTTAAGGGATTTTTTCCTCCCATTTTAAGGGATTTTCTCCCATTTTAAGGAATTTCCCTCCCATTTAATTATTTTATTTCCCATTTTTAGGAATTTCCCCCCATTTTAAGGGATTTTTTCCCCCATTTTTAGGATTTTCCCCCCATTTTAAGGGATTTTCCCCTATTTTAAGGAATTTCTCCCCTATTTTAAATAATTCCTCCCCCATTTTAAGCAATTTCCCCCATTTTAAGGAATTTCCCCCTCCAACTTAAGGAATTTTCTCCCATTTTAAGGAATTTCCTTTTTCCTCCTCCCCAGGGAATTTTCAGGAGGAAAAGAGGGAAAATAATCAGAATTTTCCCAACTGCTGGAATTTTTTCCCATCATGGAGCCATGGGTGGTGCTGGATTCCCAGGGATTGTACCAGGATGTGATGCAGGAAAGCTACGAGACCCTCATGGCACTTGGTAAGAAAACATCCCAAATTCCCTTTTTCCTCCTTTTTTGGAGCCTTTTCCCTTATTTTATTCCTTCTTTTTTCCCCCCTCTCTCTGGAAAAGGGAGGGGGGAAGAATTCAAGCAGGTTTTGAGGGGATTTCCCCCCCAAAATTCCA